GTAAAAGAACACACAAGCTTAATAGAAAACTATTTGTGAACTTCAATACTACCAAGTTCCAAAAAGAAAAGCATAACAAGATTCTCGGCCACAAAAATGATTAATCAGAATTAGGTAAGAACAACCGGGACAATGCATTTATGTGATGATTATGTTAGTCTTACAAATGTTTAAATACATTAGTTTGTCTAAATTTCCAAAGGCATGTGTTGAAATAGTATTTAACAGAAAGGCAACTAGTTGAGTAGTATACCAGACTTCGGATTGATATCTTGCAATTTGCCATCTCAGTATCGACAAAACCTGTGAAGATCGGCAAGTACAGGTTTATGATCATGATCAATTGCACTCCTGGAGTACTGCACTTACTGAAATAAACTTGTTTATGATCATGATATGGATATGTTAATTGGACAGTAGTGTATGATCATGATCATGATCTGGATACAAACAAGTTCATGGAGTTTGTGTTGTTTCATGATCATGATCTGGATACAAACAAGTTCATGAAATAAATGTACCCACATCTTGAAAATCTTCATCTCCTGCATCTTGAATCATCTCATCTTTTGCGGGTGGAGTATTGTTGAGGTATGGGAGAACCATGTTCTCCAGGCATGCTACTAGGCGAGAAGACAAGGCAGCTATTACCGGTGATCTGCTACTACATGTCAACATGAGCAATGATTCGGAACCATCTGCTGCTGCGCTGGTGATCTGCTGCCGCTACTGGTGATCTTTTGCAGTTGTTGGTTATCTGATGCTGCGCAACTGCCGTTGGTGAACTGCCGCTGGATCTGGGCAGAGGGCCTGGGGGCAAAGAACCTGGGCGGAGGCGGGGAGCCGGAGGTAGAGGGTGGAAGTGAAGGGGGCGGAGGTAGGAGACGGTGGAGGTGGGGGACATTCAAATTAGCCAGGGGTAACCTGGTCTTTTGCCCTTTTTTCACCTGGCCGGGAAAAGATCCCAGCGACCTACATTTCAGAATAGAGGAAGTAGGATAGTTCGTGGGAGAGTGTTTTTGCTAGCGAACGGAATTGCTGGATTTTGGCGTCCAACACGAACCATGAACCATCAGTTCGCTAGGACCATCTCCCATGGGGAATGTTCCCCGGATATTGACATCCAATGAATAAGCAAATCAAATACCAGGGGCGGAGGCAGGGGACCCTCCCCAACATCCTCTATTTCCATGTTTTTGATGTGAAAATAGATTTCGTTTCAAAAAAATGTGAACATAGACAATTGCTTGATGTTCCCCTCACAAGTCACAACATACAGTAGACATATTTTACTTTTTACAAAATGGTAGACAGCCGAAAACTCAAGTCATGCAGCGAAAAGGTGCAGCAATTAAAAAATTAGTAGTTCGGATCATGTATCTTTGCATTTCTTGTAAGATATGGGCTACATTATATACATTGAGTGTATGTATAGAATTTACCGATGCACTATCTATTGTCTCTGTTGGAATTCTGGCCTATCAGATAACATGCACAATCATTTATGTATCAAAACCCTTGTGAACGCTTGCAGAAGAAACTGAAAGCGACCAAGATCTGAACTCCGGAATGTTTTCGTTGCTTTCTCTAGTTCTGAAATTTGGGACATATTGCAGTGGAGGGCGTCAATATGGAACCTGAAAAATTGTAGCAACAAAACAAATTTGCGACTGATGATGCATGTTAGTGCAAGCTCAGCGCTGGATTGGTTCGGTACTTGAAGAGTGTTGCCAAATCTTGGCGCACTCATAGAGGCTGGGATAGCAGGGCTATTTCGACACTAGATCTTCTTCCAGTGGTGGGGGCACCCGACCATATATCATTTCGCATCTCATGTCTTCAAAGTCTGATATGTCGTGGTGTCAGTGAGTAAGGTAATCATCAGCCAAGGCTAACTTAACTTCAGTTGCAAAAGGCAGGAAACTTGGTCTAGAGAAAGCATGTATTTCAGAGAACAAATTTGTACTTCATTTCGTTCTGTTGGCCTGCATTAACTAAGCACTCAAGTGGACTTACTTGGATTCATGGTGAGGGGAAGGCCGAACTCGTCGGTGAAGAAGCTCTGTGTGGGGATCTTTCACATGTTGACGCACATCCCAACGCGCCCGCTGTTCTCCAAGTACCTGCATGAATTGCGATGACGTGACTGTGGCATCAAATCAAAGGTTTCCTCACATTTCCTGTATTTCATACTGTACCTGCATTTCTTTATGAGCAATCCACTCCTCTGCTTCACCCCGTCAACCTCTACCTCGATAACCTGCTTAATCAACAACACGCGTCGTGATGATAAACAATGCAATAATCGCAAGTCATTACACGAAAATCTTATGACGGGCCACATGTGCTATAACATTCTTTTTACAAATTATAAAGTGAGTGCGATAATTGAGAAGCTAGAATGCATACTTGGTGGCAGCGGTGGAGCTTACTGTATTGCTCGGGAGGGAGTGCCCCAATGCATACTTTGTGGCATTGGCAAAGCTTAGTGTATTGCTGGGGGGGGGGCTGTGCCCCCCTCCCCCCAAACTTTGGACAGTTGTTTGTAGAAATATTAAGTAGAGGGCCTAGCTGAAAGAAAAAAATAGTATTTTGCCCCCTCAAACGCTCCTATTTTGTGCCCCCTCTAGGAATTCTGGTGTAGCTCCGCCACTGCTTAGCGGGACTGATGCACATGAGCAAGACGGGCTTCTTGTCATTCCGGCCTACCGCCCTAAAAACCCTGAAGAGCGCCGTGGTTTTCTCTGTAGGAAATATACAGAAAACCCATTATACAGTGGGGTAAATATAAAATGTTACATGGCTATATAAATAGTACTCTAACACCTCCGCCCCCTCAAACTCATGGTGGATTACTAGCACTGAGTTTAGAGAGATAGAAGCCATGGTGCGCTCTAGTGTGGTCCTTCATAAAGAAATCGGCCAACTATAACTTGGAAGGCACATACTAAAGAGCAATAAACTGATCCTACACACCAACGCACACATAAAAACCGTCAACACCAATATGCTTGGTGAGCTCATGCTTCACATATCACAGGGTCACGCATAATGCTAATAGCACATGTACTGTCAGACAATAGCAAAGTAGGTGTATTAACAGAAACACCAAAATCCTGAAGTAACCACCGTAACCAAATCATCTCTGCCGTCAAAAGAGTCGTAGCTCACAACTCAGCCTCTGCACTCGAATGAGAAACAACAGTCTGTTTCTTTTTCTTCCGCACAATGAGAGAACCATCAAGAAAAACACATTAAGCAAAAAGTGAACGACAATCCAAGGGATCACTAACCCATGTAGCATCTGAATAGGACTGAAGTTGTAATGAACTGGAGTGAGGAAAGAACGGACAATGAGAAATCATGCCATGAAGATATCGGAGAACACGAAGGAGGTGACAAAAGTGAACCAAACTCGGAGTAGAGACAAACTGACTCAAAATATGGATTGGATAAGAGATATCTGGATGAGTGAAGAAGAAGACAAGCGGGCGGCGTCACACACGAGCAGTTCAAGCGCCAAGCGGATCGAGCAGATCAAGGCGACCCAATGCGGGCGGAAGCAAGTGGATCGGGGCAGCAACGGCCAACTAAGAACGGCAGGGCGGTTAGCGGCAATCGCGAGACTTGCTGATGTCCGTACAACAAATTAGCAGCAACAATCGGCTGGAGAGAGAGGAGGAGCGGTAGCCGACTCCTACCACACCACCCCGACATCCGCCTCGACCGCTGGCGGTACCGCCTCAGTCAAGCGGAACTGGAAGCCGCCTACAGGGAGTTCGACAAGGCGGTGGATGAGGTGTGGGGTAAGAGCGACAACGGGGAGGACATCGCCAGCTCCGCCCCGACCGCGCCCCACTGCCAGGACCACGAAGTCGGCACATCCGCGGGGGCTGCCGCCAACAAGGAAGAGTAGTACATGGTAGGTCGCCGCCGCTCAGGTCCCAGGAAGGCCACCGTTGTTCCCCTCCCGTTGAAGCCAAGCTTGGTGGGCTGGACATTGTTGGCCGATTAGGTCTAAGATTAGTTTTTCAAAATGAGAATCACAAGTTGGCAAGCCTGAGAGAATTTTGCCATACTTTTTAAGTGTATGTGATGTGGGATTCTAGTGTGACCTTCCTAAGATGTGGCTTGAACCAAACATACATCTAAGTTGATCAAATTTGCCTAACCTTAGATGTGGCAACCTTTGACAACCCAAACAACCCCGTGGTTGGCAAGAATGTTGATAAGAGAGGCACGGAGCAAGGTTTTCTGACAGGGCGAGTATTAACGTCCAATGAATAAACGAACCAAATACCAGGGGTGGAGGCAGGGGACCCTCCCCAACATCCTCTATTTCCATGTGTTTGAATGTGAAGATAGACAATTGCTTCATGCTCCCCTCACAAGTCACAACATACAGTAGACATATTTTACTCTTTACAAAATGATAGATAGCCGAAAACTCTAGTCATGCAGCGAAAAGGTGCAACAATTACAAAATTAGTAGTTCGGATCATGTATCTTTGCATTTCCTGTAAGATATGGACTACATTATATACATTGAGTGTATATATAAAATTTACCAATGCACTATCTATTATCCCTGTTGGAACTCTGGCCTATCGGATACCATGCACAATCATTTATGTATCAAAACCCTTGTGAGCGCTTGCAGAAGAAACTGAAAGCGACCAAGATCTGAACTCCGGAATGTTTTCGGCGCTTTCTCTAGTTCTGAATTTTGGGACATATTGCAGCGGAGGGCGTCGATATGGAACCTAAAAAATTGTAGCAGCACAACACATTTGTGACAGATGATGCATGTTAGTGCAAGTTCAGCGCTAGATTGGTTCAGTACTTGAAAAGTGTTGCCAGATCTGGGCGCACTCACAGAGGCTGGGATAGCAGGGTTGTTTTGACACTGGATCTTCTTTCAGTGGTGGGGGCACCTGACCATATATCATTTCGCAGCTCATGTCTTCAAAGTCTTGGGTCGACAGTGAGCAAGATAATCATCAGCCAAGGTTAACTGAATTTCAGATGGAAAAGGCAGTCTAGAGAAAGCATGTACAGTATTTGAGAGAACAAATTCGTGGTTCATTTCATTCTGTTGGCCTGCATCAAGTGGACTTACTTGGATTCATGGTGAGGGGAAGGCCGAACTCGTCGGTGAAGAAGCTCTGCGTGGGGATCTTGCACATGTTGACGCACATCCCAACGCACCCGCTGTTCTCCAAGTACCTGCATGAATTCCCATGACGTGACTGTGACATCAAATCAAATCAAAGGTTTCCTCGCATTTCCTAGACTGCATTTCTTTCATACCTGCATTTCTTTATGAGCACTCCACTCCTCTGCTTCACCCCGTCAACCTCTACCTCGATAACCTGATTAATCAATCACACGCGGCGTGATGATAAGCCTGAAAATTGACGCGAGGCGGTGTGGGGTGTTCGGTCTCTTACCTCTGACGGACCGACGAGCCAGTGGAAGAAGGGGACGGTGAGGGCGGCGTTGAACTCGCAGGCCCAGCGCGTGGGCGGGAAGAGCTTCTTGAACTGCTCGGGGGCGCCGGGAGGGAGCATGGAGAGGAGCACCTCGCGGACGGCCTCCTGCTGCTGCGCGCGCGACCGCCCCACCATCACCCGCCGCGACACGTCCACGAAGCTCTCGTAGTCCCACTCCCACACCGCCTTCTTCTCCTCCTCGCCGCCCGGGCCCGGCTTCTTCTTCCTTCCCGCGAACTTCTCCATCTTGCGCGCGAACAGCCCCATGAACGCGCGCTCCAGCGGCCCGTCCCTGTACTCGGTCTTCTCCCCCATCGGCGCCGGCGCGGACGCCGCGCACCGCACCACCGCCCGCCGCCTCGGCGCCCTCCTGGCCGATGGCGCCGCCACCGGAGAGGTGACCGTGGCGTAGCAGAGCTCCACGGGCATCAAAGCCATTTGCTGGCTTTGATCTTGCGGACGCGCTGGTGGCGCTAACTGGTGTCCACCTGTGTCCGGCCGGCTCTCACGCTCACGATTAAGCTAGCGGTGGTGGTGCTTGCCTTGCCCTGAGGCGCGCCTTGTTGGCACGCGCCCACCGCGGTCGTTTCGAGGCTGCCGGGATGACACGTACGGGTACGGCCGGACAGGGTTCTCATGGACCAGTGGGCGTCGTCGCCGTCGTTGCGGCTGGTTCACCGGCCGTGGGGGCAGGAAGCACGACGACCACAATAAATGTGGTCTGGATATGGTACGCAGAGAGGGGAATCTACCTATGCCATCCACGGGTGCGCGCGATCTTTCGCTCACTTTTGGACCATGCGTGGGCATGTCTTCAACTAGGCCTAACGATCGAGGCTATAAGGGCCCGATAGCCTCTGCGTCGAACTAGGCCAAACCTGGCCACATGGGCTGGCCCCGCCTGGCTGTAAAAGGGCCTGGCAGAGCATGGCCCAGGGAGATCCAATTTAGCACGGGTGTTGGAAAATAGAGCAAGCAAACACGAAGCCCCTGCGAATTAATCTGTGGTTGAGATGGTTAGGTGGACAGTGGTTTCCTCAACCCACCAGGATCGCATTATTCCTGGATTTATTTCAGGATTTCCGGCGATGCGCTTTCAGTGGGAGGAGACGTTCCCGTCGACGATGAGGTGTCTACGGTGACTTCATAAATCTCAAGATGATGTGTCGGCTCAGTCTTTCGAAGGTGCTCATAGGGATAGGGTGTGCGTGTGTACGTTCATACGGATGAGTGTATACGCATGTATATGAGCGCTTGTGTTTGTATTGATGCTCAAAAAAAAAACACGAAGCCCCTTCACATATGGTCCGGCCTATATTCAGGTAACCGTCTTTCTTTTTCTATGTGTTTTCTTTCTTTTGGTTTTCTCGCTTATTTTCCATTTTTAATTTCGTTTTCTTAATTCGAGAATAATTTCTGAAATTCACGGACATATTTTGAATTTGTGCACCATTTCTAAATTTTTGGCTCAATTGTTTCAATCTGTGAACATTTTCTGATCCAGTGACTATTTTTTGAATTTCGGGAACAATATTTCAGATTCCCGAACATATTTTGGATTCGAAAACAGTTTTCAATCAGTGTACAATTTATTAACTTTGGTATTTGTGTTGAAATCTGTCAATACCTTTTGAATTCATGAGCATTTTTCGAATTCACAAACATTTCTAGAAATTTGTGAACAACTTTTAAATTCATGGACTTTTTCTGAATCCATTAACATTTTTTAAACACATGTCTAAATTTTTCATACGTATCATATATATCAAAAACCTTTTTGTTGTACCCATTTTTTAATACATAATTAATTGAACCCTCCTCCGCCCCTCCTCCTCCTCCCAACCCTCGTCGGCCCCTCCTCCTCCCAACCCTAGCCGCTCCTCCTCCTCTTCCCTTCCTCGCTGTCGCCTGAGGCAGTCACCGGGCAAGTCTGGGGCTCCAAGGATGGTGGCTACGGGGCCTCGGTTGCCCTACTTCTGCGTGGGGAACCCCGAATCTGGAGCGGCGGCTCCATTGACAAGGCACGGACGGCTAGCAGCCATGCGGGCGGTGGATCTGGTGTCTCGCCGCACGGGCGGCGGGATCCGGTGGTCGTTGGCGGCCGGCGGCGGCTTCTGCGGCGGACGGTGCGCGCGATCTGGCGCCTCCCCTCCTCCCTTGTTCGGCGTGCAGGCCAACCTGGTCGGGCCGCGCTTCCTCTTGGTTGTCGGTTCTGTACAAGAGGCGTTGCTGGTGGCAGGGATCTAGTTCGGGCGAAATCCCTGGCCGGCCATGACCGGCCGCGCCGGCGGCGACGCCTCAGGGCGTTGTTCCCCTCCTTGGAGGCGTCGGCATGGACTCTCCTTGGTCTCCCGAGCGAAAGCCCTAACTTTGTTGGGCGGCGGCGGCGCTCACGGCGCCGTTCCCTTCTTGAAGGCGCCGCTTTGGGAACCTTGGGGTTGGGTGATGCTTGTGGGTGGTGGGCGACGGTGGTGGTGCGGCCCTATGCTAGCATGGATTTACGCCCGTTGCTTGGAGATGGACTCGCGTAGGCGGAGGTCGTCGTCTGGCGTTGTGGTGGCGTCAATGGCGGAGGACCTGCCAAGACTCGCGTAGGTGGAGGTCGTCGTTTGTTGTCGTGATGGCGTCGATGGCGGAGGACCTGCCAAGGTTGTCACCTCAATCTGCTCTAAAGCTGGACCAGTGGAAGATGGCGGCGACGACACATGTGAGTGTGTCGGACCGTTTTGAGCCCCGGACCCGACAGATGGCTCGGGCGGGGCCTCCGGCTTTAGATGTTAGGTTTAGATGAGAGGTCAGGGTATGTGGCCCAGCTTGCACCCCTTCATCATTTGGATAGGAGTAGCGGCGGATGTTGCCAAGATGGTGGATTCAGTCATATTGTTGTTCTACTTTGCAAGGTCCTCAAGATTAATCAATAAAATGGCCGCATGCATCTTCCAGATACAGAGGCCGGGGGTCATCCTCCTTTTCTAAAGAAATAAAAAATACATGATTAATTTTTGTATGCAAAATATATGTTTAAATGTCTATTTTTTCATACACATTGTACATTTTCATATACATCTAAGACATATTTTATAAATGTTTAACATATTAACATACATGATTGGACAGTTTTTTGAAGTACTTGTGTTGAACATTTTATCTAATACTACGTCCGTCCGAGATTATAAGACATTTAGCGTACCAAAACATCTTACAATTTGAAACATATGAAGTACTTGTTTTTTTTTTTGCAAATACACGTCGAAGCTTTTTTTAACGATGCGGACATTCTTTTTACATTGGATAAACATTTATCAATGCTAGGAACATTTTCCTTTAAACACATAAACATTGTTCTAAATGTAATGTAATTAGTTTATGGACCGAAATATATTTTTAATTACATGTACTTTTTTTGAACGATGGGGAAAAGTTGTGCTCACGCCGAAGTTCATGGCACCCATAATGAATAGTAAAATCATAACAAATAGTAAAAACTAAAACAGATCATGAACTTTGTGATTTTGATTATGACAAAATGTTTTAGTTACTTGCAAAATTGGTTGCCCACTAACATCAAATGAACCTCATATAAACAAAATACAAAACTCTGCTCAAAAGTGCACACAAGTTTGAACACAAATTTTGTTATCTTCTGTATAGAGTTCCTCAGATGTCATTTGGCCTCCAAAATTTTCAACCACATAAAATGTTTGGTTATAATTGAAGCCACAAAGGTTCAGATAGTTTTTTCCTTTTTTTTTGATTTTATTGTTCATCACGGGTACAATGTACTTGGGTGTAGAAAATCCATGACAAAGGTTCAGATTTTTTGATTTTACTGCCCCGGCCAGACGCCGCCACCGAGCCGTGCTTGCATGGTATCTTGAGGAAGCAACGAAGCACCCTTTTTACTTGGCTTGGGAGGATTTGGCCGAGGGGACAACTCCGTTGTGGGCGGTACGAGGGGAAAATTATAGCTAGGGAAAATGGAAGCGAAAGGACGATAAACCTCTACCTCCATTGTGGTTCATTTTTCTGTTACTAACTCAAGTGAACACAGTCGATGTTCAGCGGGCCAAATAAAAAAACGATCCCATCGAGTCAATGTAAAATAAAGTCTACTCCACCAGCCAAACTGGACAGATGAGATCATTTTTTGTGAGTATATGACAACTAACATCGCTGGAGTGGGGGAGGGGCTGGGCGCGGGGGTGTTCAGCACACAGAAACTTAAAGTGAATGTCAAGATCAAAATTTTGTGACAAATGATATGAAATATTTGTTTCTAGGTCCTCTAAAAGCATATACAATCAAACTTCACAAAATCGGGCCCCTATACTCCGCTGATAGTGAACGGTCACCCCTCATTTCTCCGCGCCCACGGTCGTCCCACTAATATCTGTCCCCCTCCCCACCAATCCATACTAGCCACGCAACATGATATAAAGTAGGTAGATCAACATAGCAACATTCAGATAGCGCAAACATAGCATCATTCAGACATCACAAACATAGCAACATTCGGGCATCACAAACATAGCAAAAACCATATATATTTGGCATAACGGTTTTCACATTCGGACCCAAAAGTTCATCACAGGACACCTCGATACATAGATAAACCAGAGAATAGATAAATAATAGCTAGCTAAATGAAGAGAGGCGCCAGACATCACCATTTCCTTGTCGTTTCCCTCCTGTTGTGGTTACCTAAGCGACGGTAGTAGTCCTCCGCGTAAGAGTTGACAGTCGGAGGGGCGTCGTCAGTGCGGTGTTGCTGTTGAAGGACGACGAGATGAAGCCCACGAGACGATGGATGGTGTGGGCCTGCTCCTTCACGAGCTAGGCCGATTTAGCATGGCCTACTGCCCTCTCCGCTGTGAGTTGTTGTGACTCCTCGATGTCGAGCCAAAGCGCCTTCACGTTCTTGCGGCGGAGGTGTCCCGCGTCTGTCTCCGCCGTGGTCAGCAGCCGTGGAGGATCACACGCAGGAGCTGCTCCTCCGGGATGACTAGCGCAGGCGCTGACATGCGGGTCCTGTGGGAGGAACTTGCCTCTGCCGTCGCCGCCATCTACCTCGCACGCTACGTCTTGTGGCGTCTGGCGCACACCTCCAATTTGGGCATCCTCTGCCGCGGGAGTTGAGCAGGCGCGGGCACGAGCACACAGCGCCTACCGGGAAGAGCAAGGGCCGAAGGTGTGGGAGAAGGGCGCGCCCGATGGATCTGCACCAACGTGGCATGACATGACAACTCCGTCGTTCGCATTGCGCCGTCGGGCGACAAGGGCGATCGGAGCTCAAGCTCCCTCCCCTGTCCACTCACACCCGCGCAAGTGCGACGCGGAAGACAAGGTCTTTACCGTGCTCCTCGCGCAGCAGGGCGTCCCAATCAACCTTGATGCCGCATCCGTCGCTAGATGCGCTCCCGTTACTCGACTTGGGGAGAGGAAGGGACAAGACGAAGAGGTGAGGGGAAGGGAGGAGACAGGCAGTAGAGAGTTCGAGAGTGTTGATCATGGTCTAAGGTTTGTCCAAGGTAGGGTATATGTTGGGACGGGGTGGGCCAGCGTGGGCCCGTCTGACGTGGCGTGTGTGTCTAGGCCGCCCCATCCCACGCCAGATATGGGCTAAATATGGTGGGTGTCGGTCAACCAAAACATATAGATCTGGTTAGGGGTACGATTGAGCCGCGTTCTCGTGCCAAATCACTGACCGGGCCGTCCGCTCGGACATTCCAGGCGTCCTAATGGACCTCACTAGCGGATCCATCACCGGATGCTCTAAGAAATACAAGCCCAAAAAATACATATGGCTTAGCCAGACAAAAAAGGAGTTTGCACACAAACAATTTAAATACATTTGTTACATTAGTTGCATGATCTACTCTACTCATATAGCACATACTCCCTCCGATCAGAAAAAAAGTGTCTCAGTTTTAAAGAGGGAGTAATTTATTTGCGTATATATTTAGAACTGACATAATAATCTAACAATACGAACACGAACCAAAGAATATGCATACATTGTAACAACGTTTTTGTTTTGTTTTGAGAATTTGTAACAACGTGATTTATCGATGGAAGAACAACTAAATTGCATGCACCCACGTACTATGTTTGCACAGCCAGGCTGCTACATCTCCACGACCACGGCTGACAACGGCGCCGTCTTCGCACCGGCGTCTTGCACGCGCGGCTCGGCCGAAAGGGTGAGCGCGAGGCAGACGACGACCGGGGTGCACGCCAGCACGAGGCCGACGGGCACCATCCACAGCCGGCTGTTGGACGGGTGGAACGCCACGGACCACCACGCAAGCAGCGACGCGCCGGTCACCGCGGCGGCCACCATGCACGTGTCCACGGCGACCGAGGCCGCCTCGCGGGACACCGCCAGCCGCTGCTCCTCCCCGTGGAAGAGGTGGCAATCCATGGCCGCTGGCGTCCTTGATCCGGGGTGGTGTTGCATCTTCATGGTAATCCTGCTAGATAGCTCTGGTGGTTTAATTGTCAAAGCTCTGCCGGGCTTACAAAATTTTGGGTGGCTTATTCCGTTGTGTTTCGTGCTGATGGTTAAGTTTGCTTGTTCACCGTTGGCGAAGGGATGATGCACATGTTATTTTAGTGTTTGCAGGGCTGCGTTGAGTAATGGGCAAATCAAGTGTTAGATAGATACTCCTCGTGAAAGTAAAAATAAAAGGGACGTGCTACGCATCTGCCGGCTGATCAGTCAAGTCACGAGCCATCAGATTTGCCGCTTCGAGCAAGCCTAGTACGCCTTCAACACTGCAAGACAAGTCTTGTTGCATAATTATTTCTACAACACATATGTCTTGTTGCAGAATTATTTCTGCAACATAAGTCTTGTTGTAGATTTTTTTTAATAACTGTTTTGTTTAAAAAAAATTACAAGAGGTTTTGTTGCAAATTTCCGCAATAGAGGTTTTGTTGCAAAACATAGGCCCGTCATAGACCATTGCAACACCGTATATGTTTCAGAAACATTAGTTCATGTTGTAGAAGTGCGTTCGACGAAGGACGGTATTTGGGCCGTCACTTGGACGTGTGTAATACAGGGAGGTGGCGGACACGGTGGCTGCTATCCGCCGGGCGATGGTAAGCTAACCATTCCCTTCCGTGTCACCGTCGCTAGGCGACTAGGAGGGTTCTGCCAGATCTTTGTCGTCGTCAACCCTCCTCCCTCGCTGCTGCCAGGGGCGCGGCTGGGCGAAACCCGACCGGCATCGGCAGGGTGTTGGCGTCCTATCGCGGATGGGAGGTGGTGCAAGACGGCTTCCCCGGGTTAGGGCACGGTGCGGTGGTACTCTGGTGTGCTGGCATCACTTGAGTGCAGTAGCGGCGTGCAGGAGAGGTTGCAGTGCAACGAGCAGCGAGGGTGGCGCGGGGCCAGATCTGGTCGGCAGGCGGCGTTGGCTGCGACGGCAGGGGCCAGAGACTGCTGCCCCGCCTCCTCACGGTGGTGGTTGATGGCGGCGGTGGTTCCTTAGCTCGTGCTTGGTCCTTGTGTGGTGCCAATGTGGGTTGGGCATGTGTGCTCACTACAGTGGCGCGGCCTCCGTCGGACTACACGCGACGCAAGATGGACGTGGCGCCCTCCCTTCGCCTGCGTCAGAGCGGGCGGCGTTTGGGTGCCGGTGGTGTTGGCTGGACGTGCGGCCACGGTGGCTTTGATCTAGGGTTTGTGCTTGGGTGGGCCAGATCTGGGCCCGAGGCGGATCGGGGTTGTTGCACCGAGTAGGTGAGGGTGGGCTCGGTGTGGTTTGTGCCCGTGGGCGCTTTGTCATGACACTAATACATCGTCGGGCTGATAGGCGTTGATGACCAAGGACTTGTGTCGTGGGAGCTCGTCTCGGCCAACCAGAGGGCTTTCGTTAGGCCCTAATCAGCGGCGGCCATCGGCAGTCTCGGGGTCGTGTTCCCCTCGGTCCACCGAGGCTGGATGGGGATGCAGGCATCGACGCCTCCTACTGTGGAGGTGTGGACCGAGACCGAGGGGCTAATGTCAGGCTAGAAGTGGAAGATGTGCCCTCCATTACTCCCATCGGAGTTAGGTTGTTGTCATGTGGATGGTTGGCAGTGTCTCGGACATGGATGTCAGCGCGGTGGCCCCGGATAGCAGTCCGCATGGTTGGCTCTACGGTAAGAACCATGGTGGCAATGACGGCTATGCCTCTTGGTTGTGTGGGCGGTGAGGGGTGCAGTGGCGGGTGGCTTGGGCTCTCTCTCTGTCCTTAATAGTAGTGACACCCAGATCCGGATCTGAAGGCTGGGTCACGACTCGGTAGTCCTAGGTGCCTTGCGATGGCATGGGTGAGCCATCGAGAAAAAGCTCCACACTTTGGCACCGACAGCAGCGGCGCCCATGGCTGCCGCTCTCCTCTCGAGGAAGTCGTTGTGGTTCTCCTCTCTATGCCAGGATTCCGTCTGAAGATCCTTATCCATCTCGGACCCTTCTGAGGGCATTGTCGTGGAGCTTAGATGTCCTTGGGGCGTGTCGTGGCGTTGTATTCTAGGCTAACTATGTTGTCTCTCGGTAGCGTAGACGCGTGTGATTATGTTGTCCAGTTATCTTGGGATTTTTTTTGTAAGAGGGCTTCCTCACTGACGTGTATCGTTCGGCCGTGTATTAGATTTGTGTATTATCTATAAAGCAGGGGCGAGAGCCAATTTTGAGTTATACTTGATAGAGCAACTGTATACCGGTGCCCAACGAGTTATCTACGCAGTCTCATACAACAAATCGGCACCAACATCAATCAAGGAGACCTTAGGCAAATTGTCGATGACACCGACACAGATAGAAGAAATGAAGCGATCTGCTGCCAGGGCTGGCGCTTTGTTGGCACTGACTCGGGCCAAAGCATGGATAGCTGACCTAGATCCAGTTGATATTGCCAAGGGATATCCTGGTGAACAAGAAAATGGGTCAGAATTTGATAATGAAGCCCTCAAAGCCCTGACAAAGGAGATGCGTCCGCTGGCATGTCAATTGGCGGAAGAGGCTAACTTGATTGTTCATCGGTCCTTCTATGATGCCAACAACCAACGGATTGACACTGCTGTGAAAGAAGCGCGAAACCTTATCCCGCCAATCCGTAAGCACACTTATGCCCCTAACGTTGAACCGTCCGAACTTATAAGTGAAGAGGCTGTCTTTCGAGTTTTAACTCGGATTGACTGGACCATCGTTGACTTCCAGCCACTGGACGGGGAGGAGGAGGTTGAAACAATGCCAGAAGATCCATCCACCTCTCACTCCTTCGTGATTCATTGGAGTTATTAGGTCATGAGATTAGTTCAATACTAGAAATATGAATAACCGAAGTCAACAGAAAAAACAAATGTTACAAACGTCAAATGTGAATACGTTTATGCAGGCTGAAATAGAAGTATGACAAACGGTTAGAATAGCATTCAGCCGTCGTATGAATATATATTTTTCCACTAATATCATGGTTATTTAGAAGATACGTTTGAATTTAACTGTAATTTTTCATACATATATATATATATATATATATATATATATATGAAGGAAATATGCCCTAGAGGCAATAATAAAGTTATTATTTATTTCCTTATATCATGATAAATGTTTATTATTCATGCTAGAATTGTATTAACCGGAAACATAATACATGTGTGAATACATAGACAAACAGAGTGTCACTAGTATGCCTCTACTTGACTAGCTCGTTAATCAAAGATGGTTATGTTTCCTGACCATGAACAATGAGTTGTTATTTGATTAACGAGGTCACATCATTAGTTGAATGATCTGATTGACATGACCCATTCCATTAGCTTAGCACCTGATCGTTTAGTATGTTGCTATTGCTTTCTTCATGACTTATACATGTTCCTATGACTATGAGATTATGCAACTCCCGTTTGCCGGAGGAACGCTTTGGGTGCTACCAAACGTCACAACGTAACTGGGTGATTATAAAGGAGCATTACAGGTGTCTCCAAAGGTAGATGTTGGGTTGGCGTATTTCGAGATTAGGATTTGTCACTCCGATTGTCGGAGAGGTATCTCTGGGCCCTCTCGGTAATGCACATCACATAAGCCTTGCAAGCACTGCAACTAATATGTTAGTTGTGAGATGATGTATTATGGAACGAGTAAAGAGACTTGCCGGTAACGAGATTGAACTAGGTATTGGATACCGACGATCAAATCTCGGGCAAGTAACATATCGATGACAAAGGGAACAACGTATGTCGTTATGCGGTCTGACCGATAAAGATCTTCGTAGAATATGTAGGAGCCAATATGGGCATCCAGGTCCCGCTATTGGTTATTGACCGGAAACGTGTCTTGGTCATGTCTACATTGTTCTCGAACCCGTAGGGTCCGCACGCTTAAGGTTTCGATGACAGTTATATTATGAGTTTATGAGTTTTGATGTACCGAAGGAGTTCGGAGTCCCGAATGAGATCGGGGACATGACGAGGAGTCTCGAAATGGTCGAGACGTAAAGATCGATATATTGGACGACTATATTCGGAGTTCGGAAAGGTTCCGAGTGATTCGGGTATTTTTCGGAGTACCGGGGGGTTACGGGAATACGGGGAAGAGTATTGGGCCTTGATGGGCTTTAGTGGGAAGAGGAGAAAAAGGCTGCGCCCCCCCTCCCCTCTAGTCCGAATTGGACTAGGGAAAAAGGGGGCCAGCCACCTCTCCTTCTCCTCCTATTCCTTCTCCCTTCCTCCCCTCTTGGTGGACTCCTACTAGGACTTGGAGTCCTAGTAGGACTCCCTATCCTGGCCGCACCTTTGCCTTGGCCGGCCTCCTCCTCCTCCATCCTTTATATACAGGGGCAGGGGGCACCCCATAGACAAAAGTTGGCACAAGTTGATCCACGTGATCGATTCCTTAGCCGTGTGCGGTGCCCCCTGCCACCATATTCCTCGATAATACTGTAGCGGAGTTTAGGCGAAGCCCTGCTGCTGTAGTTCATCAAGATCGTCACCACGCCGTCGTGCTGACGAAACTCTTCCCTGACACTTTGCTGGATCGGAGTCCGGGGATCGTCATCGAGCTGAACGTGTGCTCGAACTCGGAGGTGCCGTAGTTTCGGTGCTTGATCGGTTGGATCGTGAAGACGTACGACTACTTCCTCTACGTCGTGTCATCGCTTCCGCAGTCGGTCTGCGTTGGGTACGTAGACAACACTCTCCTCTCGTTGCTATGCATCACATGATCCTGTGTGCGCGTAGGAATTTTTTTTTGAAATTACTACGAAACCCAACAGTGGTATCAGAGCCTAGGTTATTGATGTTGATGTTATATGCACGAGTAGAACACAAGTAAGTTGTGGACGATACAAGTCATACTGCCTACCAGCATGTCATACTTTGGTTCGGCGGTATTGTTGGACGAGACGACCCGGACCAACCTTACGCGTA